TCACGCTGACTCAAGCTCTTCACGGCCCTACTTTGAGCCAGATCCTGAGGCGTCTCCCTGTCTCTGCTTTCCTGCCCTGGAACGATATCATCTTCCCTACAACCTCGCCGGAGCGTAGCACTCTTTTCCTTAGAACTGCCTGCGATGAGCCGAAGTTGTCCACAGTCCTACACCACGAAGCCTGTGAACAGCACGACCTTACATGGCAAAAGGGATTTTGCAGATGCGATGAAGGGTCTTGGGATGAGACGATGGTGCTGGACGACTGGAAGGATGAATGCAGTTGAGTGTGGGTGCTGATGAAGAATGTGGAAAATACCGTGGACCACCAGGAGAGCTGACACCTCCATCGGAGAAGAACCACCAGAATGAGACTTCGGCTCACCTCCTGTGGACTTACTGTCATAGAGAGGTCACTCGCCGGAAAAAAAAAAAAAAGATATCCCACTTGGCAAAGCAGAAGGTTAGTGAAGAAGGGGAAGCCCTTCAAGGCGTGGATTAACGCGCTGGCTGCAACAAGGGCACAGACTGAACATCAAACCCAGCCGGAACATCAAACCCAGCCGTCGTGCGCGGTACATGTGGTTGCTATGAGCAGTGACTCTGTAGCATCTAACCACAACAGCAGTGGAACAAGGCAACCGTTAAACACGCCCCCTCCATCCCTACCCTCGCCCCACCAAAAAACCCAACAACAAAAAAGCAGCTGCTGATTGGTTCTGACTCCTGGTGACCCCGTGTGTATCAGAGCAGAACTGTGCTCCGCCGCGTGTCCCACTCCATCTGCGGGAAGGAGCGCCGCGGGCCTTTCTTCTGACCCACATCTGGATGCAGCTGGCCACCCACCTTCGGTTAGCCACCCGTGCGTGAGCCATGTGCACCGCCCAGGGACTGTGACTCATCGTGGGGCGTCCATCGTTCCTGCATAAATTCATGATCGAGGGGGAGGGAAGAGAAAGCAAGGGGGAAAAGGACAGAAGGAGGTGGACAAGGAAGCGATGGTGGAGAAGGAACTTTCGAAGCAGGAGGAGGGGTACCTTGAAAGCTTCCCCTCCCAACACAACTAGGCGCTGGGGCGATTGGGGTGTAGCCTGGAGATGTACTTGTAGAAGGCGCATTCTTGTCTGTATGAGTGGAAGGGTAAGAAGTTGCTGCCTGTTTGTTGAGGAAAACAAACCCCAACATTCTCTCAGGAACCAACTCCAACTCTCTGAGGCTCTAGGAACAGAGCCCCTGAATGGATCAGAGCTCACGCTCCTTGAGGCCAGAGCTGGTCTCATCCCAGAAGAGAGAGGAAATGAGAATTGGTATCTTCTTCTGCTTCAGGGGTGACTGTCAGTCTCCCTCCACCCCAATGATGCAGGCCAGAGGGGTAGACGGGGACTATGAGCTCCAGATAAGGTTAGGGACATTGTTGCCTAAACCCAAACACCTGGGTTTGGGCCCCTGGGAATAGGCTTTAGTTCTAGGCTTCTACCTGCCTGGTGTGAGCAGAGATGTCCCTAGGACTCCATCTCCAGAGGGCACCCTGGCTGGGAACAGACAGAAGCTGCAGGAGGTCTTGGAGAGTTACGGTGGGAGGTGGATCCTGACTGTCTCCAGGTTTCAGGGCAGGATGGAGATGGGGGAACCGTGCCAAATTGTTCCTTGGACCAGGGAGGGGAGCCCCAGATTCCCTTAAGTCATCCTTTGAGTCACCCACAGGTCTTGAGTAATGCTCTGGTTCAGAGTGGAGCTCTAAAGAGACCTCTACTATGTTCCTGGGGGAACTGGAGTGTGTGTGTGTGTGTGTGTGTGTGTGTGTGTGTGTGTGTGTGTGTGCTGGAGTGGAGACTTGCCAGGTTTATGCAGTGAACCCAGGACTTGAGCTTGGGTCTTGTGGCTTTCTGGTACAGATCCTGAAGAGAAACTGTCTGTGTTTTCCCCCTTCCTTTGCCCTCAGACATAACCTTTACATCTCTGCATCTTCCTGACCTTAGCCTTGGCGCCTAGATGGTGCCTGGCATATGGTAGGTGCTCAGTAAATAATTGGTGAAGAAGGATATGAATCTCTGCCCTGCCTCTGCACCTCTGACTCCCCAAACCTGGGGACTGGCTCTCCTTTTCCACCATCCTGCCTGGCCCCTGCTTTCCTCTCTGACCCTCAACCCTCAAGTGTCTGCTCACTCTATCTAAAGTATCTCTGTGACCTCAGAGAACATCAGCTGGCCGTAGCAGCTGGCCGGGCTGGGGCCTAATGTTCCACATTAAGGGAACATCTGCTGGCTGGGGCTCCCGGGGCATGGGCCCAACATGACTCCGCTTCACAGCCGCTCCACGGTCAACACAGGACACGCAGCCAAAGATGGGGCCTCTGGGCCTCCTTCAGGCAACGATGTCACAGGTGGCCCCGTGTTGGCGTGATGTCCTGGGATGATGGGTGGACTGGGATAATTATAACTGACCCATTGCTATGACCCTGGGGCCCAGTCTTTCTCCTCTGGCCCTCAGTTCCCTCTGGGTCCAGATTTGTTGGATTCGAACTTTTCTTCGTGCTCTGGCTCCAACAAGCTATCATTCCATAAGCAGGTGTGGCCTATTTGCCCATGTGATGGGTGTGAATTCTAAAATAGCCAGCCTGCCGGCTGAGGGACAGTGCCACAAGACATCTTCTGGTCCAGACAGCACTAGAAGTCCAAGACTCCAACAGCAAGAGCCCACAGAAAATGCCCAGGCCACTTGCCAGACTAACCTCTACCCAAGTTCCCTCTGGACCTGTCAGTCACCCTCCTTCCTTCTCAACTTGCAGGACTGTTCCCGCACCTGGTTTTGTCATGCTTTTCTCAGGGGAATGATTCCCAGGGAACCACCTAATTGTAATAATAAGGTTAATCACAGTAACAACTGGACTGCCCATGCCCTGAGGGCTGATGGCTGTGCTAGGCAGGGTTCTCTAGAGAAACGAAACCAGGACACTTAGGATTTTATATACAGGTTTATACGGTGAGAAGGAACCCCAACTCCAACTCTCTAGGGCTCTAGGAACAGAGCCCCTGAATGGATCAGAGTTCACGCTCCTTGAGGCCAGAGCTGGTCTCATCCCAGAAGAGAGAGGAAATGAGAATTGGTGTCTCCTTCTGCCTCAGGGGTGACTGCCGAAGGAGTCTCGAGCTCTAGCGACATGATCCACGGGTTGGCCTGGCCCACAGGTGGTGTAGCTCACAGGTTGAGGCAGAGAACTAGCTACAGCAGCAACACACATGCCCCAGCAGGATCCCATCCCCAGAGAGCAGGAGGGGTGGGCGTGGGGAGGAAGGCCTTGCAGAGCCATTTTTCTCTTTGCACTCCAATCAAGCTGCCACCCGATTAATCCCACATGCTCCTATTGGTCAGGTAGGCACAATAAACCTACCTATCTCAATGGCCCAACATGGCCCTAAGATGCTTCCCTGGTTGGACCATGAGTCTCTCACATCCCAGTGAAGGGAAGTGAGCCCACTTTCCCTTTCCACAGCCCACCCTCACAGATGCCCTCAGCAAGGTATAACCCTTTTGTGGGACTCCATCATGCCACACTTCTGCTAGCTCCTCCCCACCCCCACCACACCTTTATCTGTTTGCTTTATTTCCTCACTAGATTCCAGTCCTCATGAATATGTTCATCTCATTAATATGGGGGTTGTCTCCCCAAGCTCTTCTCCCTTCACACCCTTCTTCTGAGCGAAGTCTCCCACCTCATGGCTGGGACCTCTTCCCATTGTGCTGGAGTGAAAATCAAGGCATGGTAGGACTGATCCCTGAGGTGGGGTCAAGGTCAAGAAGGTCCCGTGCTAAGGGATATGGGGAGACCCTGGAAGGCTTCTGCTGGTGGTGGAGAGGTGCATGCCAGCGTCTGGGAGAGATCACGCTCAACCTTATGTGTGCGGCAGCATTGAGTGAGGAGACCACTCTGTGGGTCATTGCCATGGACCATGTGAAAGTGATTAGAACCATCATTACAATGCCTAGGGAGACAGAGTATAGAAGGAGGATTCTATAATATTTAGAGGTAAAACCAGTAGGACTTGGTGACTGATTTGATACAGAGATGGAAGGCAGACTCCCAGGCTGCCACCTGGAGGCTAGACCAGTGTCAGCTGGAGGATGTTGAGCGAAGTCCCTGGTTCTTCAAGGTGGGGGTACATGAAAGGCAGCTGGCCAACTGAGTCAGCCCTCGGGGCATGGTTGGAAATGGAAGACTTTGGGACCCTGCGGCTGTCGAGCCCTTGAACATGATGACTTCGTCCTGGGTGAGTGGGGCAGGTGGGTCAAGGTCAGGGTGGTGGCAGTGCTTTCATTGAAGGGGCTGGCAGAAGGACTGGTCCCAGAGAGATGGTGTCCCAAGAGGTGAGTGGGGCCTGGGGTGACTAAGGTAAGGGCTGACCCTACTGGCTGGATTGGGGAGTTCAGACTTCCCTGGTGACTTTAGTAAGAACTGCTTTGGGGGAAGGGGAGGGGCGGAAGGCAGGCTGCAGGCCTGCAGCATTTAAGGCGAGGTGAGGAGTTGGAGAGAGGGAGGAGAGAACACACTACGGAGAAGCTGGCCGGGCCAGGAGAAGGGGGTGAGCGGCAGACAGCAGTCTGAGGATGCACCTCGTTCTCCATGCCTGGAGACCCAGTCAGAGCTGACATCTTCTCTCTCCATGCTCACGCCCACCCAACCACCTCACTACCTTGATGCACGTGCGTGTGAAATCTCCCGTAGTGTGTGTGTCTCTCTGTGTGTATACAAACTCCCAGAGTGTGTGTGTATAAAATCTCCCGCAGTGTGTGTGTGTCTCTCTCCGTGTGTGTATGAAATCTCTCTCAGTGTGTGCATATGTTAACACTCTCTGTTTGCATGTGTGCATGTGTGTGAGTCCTCCCTCAGACAGTGTTGTGTGTGTGAGAGTGTGTCCGGGTGTGAGGAGGTCTCCCTCCTCCAGGGAGTCCGTGCATGTCTGTGACTGAGCCTACACTCACTAGGGTGCTCTTCCTCCCAGGCTGCCCCGGGATGTGGGACAACATCACGTGTTGGAAGCCAGCCCATGTGGGGGAGATGGTTCTTGTCAGCTGCCCTGAGCTCTTCCGGATCTTCAACCCAGACCCAGGTATGTGAACCAAGGGATGCAGCCTCAGCTGCTCTGTGAGCTAGGGCCCAGGCCTTCCTGGCAGCAGGACACCAGCTGCCCTGCCAGCCGGTCTTCTCCGCCCCAGAGCGCCCATGCTCTGGAGACGCTAAAACCACCCACAGCCATGCTCACACAGGGGCATGGGCGTGACCCGCAGATGTGGAACCAGGTACATGTGCTGATGCTGGTGTCCCTGGTAAGAGCAAAGCTGTGCTCCTAGACTGGGTTGTTCTCAGCTCTACTGACGCACCTAGAGCCCTTGGCTGGGATGATTCACCTTTCTGGTCCCCAGGTCCCTGTCTGTAAAAGGGGAATATGCACCGCATAGTTACTACCTCACAGGTGGCTTCGTGAAGAGCAGAGTGAGGCGATACAAGCAGCCTTGAAAAGAATCTGTGGAGTAACCCCGCTATGTTTCAATTCCCTTTCCCACAAACTCTCCGAAGCCACCCCCTGCCCCCATCCCATACAAATGGGCATCATTTAGCTTGGAGGGCCTGGTGCACTTTACTCGATCAGTCACGGGAGCCAGCTGAGACAGTCATCACTCAGCCTCACCAGAGGATGCTCAGAGGCCGAATGAGAGCGGTGAAGAAGGCAGCTGCATCCTGAAGACCTTCCCCCACTGTGTTAATCACGTCGACTAGAGAAACAAATCCAGGGATACTCATGTATGCATATGAAAGAGCTATATATCAAAAAGTAATTCATTTATTAAGAAAACATGCCAGCTCAGTCCAGATCAAGTCCATAAGTCCAATATTAGCCCGTATGTCTGATACCAGTCCATGAATTCCTCTTCAGACTCATGCAACACAGACCTGTGGGAAGAAAGTCTTGTGGATCCAGTGGTGGTGGAAGCATCTCAGCGCTGGCATGGCTCTCCATGTGGCTCCTCCAGCCCCAGGGCTCTGGCTGCCATCAGCATGGCTCCATGTGGCTTGTCAACAGGAATGTCCAGCAGAGAGAGTGTGTGGTCCTCTTCCCGGGAGAAAAGGAGGAAGTTCTAAGAATCATCCTGGTAGATGTTACCTTGTGACCGGATTGACAGGCTAAACTCTACCCCTTCTATCTTAATATCCACAAGATGACATGAGACTATGTAACTACCACACCCACATACACTCTTGCAGACCCGTTCAGATGTAGGTCTTGAGCCCCTGGCCCTCCTTTCAGGGGCTCCTCGGACCAGTCCCAGTCATCCATTCCACCAAGGCCTAAGGACCCCAAAGAAAGTTGCTGCTCAGGCAGTCACTGTGACCTGGACTGGATCCTCTCTACCAGTCTCCCTGGGTGTCCAGGGAGTCAGGGTAGGTAGGCCCCTGAGATCACAGACTGTGAGCTAGACTCCAGGTGGGTGACATAGCAACACCATGAACCCCTGAGCCCCAGAGGAAGATGGAGAGCAGGAGTTCCTGGATGGACCAGGAGGTGACTGAGTGGTCCTAGGTCCCTTCTGACCTAGGCCTCCACTTCCTTCTTTAGGGCAGAGGTTGGCATCCTCTAAGGGAGGGTTGCTAAGCTCAGGAGTCCTGCCTACTGGCCACACCCACCTGGCTGGCTCGTTCTGTCCTGTGAGAAGCAAAGAGCACATTTTGCTCTCTGACCTTAGACTCCAGCAGGACCAGCTCTGCCCAGAGGGAGGCATGGCTGGAGGCTGAAGAGGCAGGTGCAGTTAGGCTGGGGCCCCACAGCCCTGGGTTTTGTGATCCAGCAAACCTATAGGAGGCTTCCGAGGCTGTAAATCTTTATGGGAGCAATAGGTCTCTTCTTTCTCCAGTGGATTGGTTGGTGGGTTTGAACTGCTGACCTTGCGGGTCACCCATCATACCACCAAGAGTTCCTTCCCAAGATGAGAGAAACTGAAAAAGGAAAAAAAAAAGCAAGCCTAAACACTAAACCTCAATAGTCAGTGAATGAACTCTGATTAAGACTTAGCCCATACGTGTCAGAATAGAACTAGATCCCAGAGGGTTTCCAGTGACCGACTTTTCAGAAATAGATCACCAGACCTTTCTGCAGAGGCACCTCTGGGTGGACTGGAACCTCCAACCTTCTGGTTATCTGCCAAGAGCATTAATGGTTGGAACCCCCCCAGGGATGACTGGTACACCCAGTCTTGTCTCTGCACCTTCCTCTCTGGGGCTTCTGGGCCACACCTCCTGCCCTAGGTCTCCTGCTGGCCAGACCAGAAGGAGGATGACAGTTTGACTGTCCCACCCTGAGGACTTGGGGACTGCGTGTGACTCAGAGCTGGAACTGGAGGAGATTTGAATGAGGAGATGGGCAGGGAGATGCTGAACCGCAGGCGTGAGGGACCAGAGACGGCGAGCCCTGTGGAAGGCAGGATGCCGTCATCTCTGATTCATCCCATAGACTCCAACTGAGTCACTGCGTTCATTCATACAGTCCTTCCATTCAGCCACATACTGAAAGTACACATGAGTCTGGATCCCCGGAAGGCAGTGGGCTCCATTACCATGATGTGTCAGGCACCAAAGCCAGATGTCCACAGGAAAAACAAAACCCAAAGTGAGCCAGCAGGGAAAGACTTGCTCCAACTACGCTTTTCTCCACCCCTGCTTCCCTGTTGGCAAACCCACCTGCGGCTTAGAGGCTCAGGAGGGTGTCATTTAGCACCTCTCTTCCTCAAAGCTTGGTGAGTGAGACTGGCCTTGAGATGCTCCGAAGGGCAGGTACGGAATTTCTCAGGTGACCACTCGGTCTCCTGGAAGCTCAGGGCTGAAGGTCATTGCTGTGGTGACTGTCTCTTTGCTGGACACCAAATGCTGGTCTCTCTCTCTCCTGCTCTCTGATGCCTTGACCTCTCTCTCTTTACGTTGGTTTTCCTGATCTGAAGGTAGAGGTGCAAGCCTCTGGTGTCTCGGCTGGGTTCCCCGCCTGCAGCCTTCACTTCCTCGGGTTCCCCAGCAGAGCCCCTGTCCAGCTTGAGGTGGGCCTGGCAGCACGATGTGATCCGTGGGGCCCAGTGAGAGCAGAGCGCCAACCTCATCCCCTCTCTCACCACGGTATTTTCTTTCTCTGTGTGTGTTTCAGCCTGGGAGACTGAATCCATCGGTAAGAAGGACCTTGGTGAGGACAGACTGCTGTCCATTTGTCCATCCAGTGGGAAGCCAGCTTCAGGACATCTCGATGCCTAACTGCAGGGATTGGGTTGGATGCAAGGATAGGCCCATCACGGGCCAAGCCCTGCCGTCCTCCCCTCCTGCCTGGCTCACCCCACCAGGCCGTCCTGGCAACCCTGGCAGATGGAGGACAGTTGTTTTTAGGACAGGTCCTCATGGGCTGATTCGGGAGGCTGAGCTTCATACCAACATCTGGGCAGCTGGAGAGAACAACAGAAGAGATCTCCTTAGGCAGCCTGCACACGGGAAGTGGAGAGAGCAGGGAAGGCCTCCTGGAGGAAGTGGCACTCCAACTGGGCCTTGAGTAGTGTAGATGGGGCTTCCTTGTTAGCTAGGGATTTGGTGTAAAGAATGGTTGGAAGTGAGAATAAATCACTCAGTCACTACCATCGAGTCAATTCCAATGCACAGCAACTTTATAGGACACAGGAGAACTACCCCTGTAGGCTTCCGAGGCGGTAATTCTGTACAGGAGCAGAAAGCTTCATCTTTTTTCCATGGAGCAGCTGGTGGGTTCAAACTGCTGACCTTGTGGTTAGCAGCCCAACACATAACCACTATGCCACAGAGATCCTTGGGGAGTAGATAGTACAGAGAAAAAGAGCCTTCTGAGGATGATGCCTTTGGAGTTCAGGGTTCCCTGGGATGAGCTTGAGGGCCAAGACAGAGGCTTCAGCACCAAAGAGGAAAGGCCAGGCATCCATTTTTTGCCTCTTTATTTAAAAAGCCCAGTTAGCCCTTTACATGCCCTCTCACAGAATCCGGGGGGCCCTCCACCCTTACACCTCCCTGACAGCATCCCATTGCCTGCATCTGCAGAGGGGAAACTGAGTCAGGAACCACCCTGAGCATCTGAGAAAGGCAAGCCAAGTGGGAGAGCTTTGGGAGCCCAGTGTTGCAAAGGCGCACAGCTGATGTGTGAGGTGCTGTCCCTTGGCCCAGACCCCTCCCTCTGGTGCCCCAGGCAGCCCTGGCCCTCCTGGCTGGAGACTAAACGGAAAGGCCAGGAGTGGTGACTCAGGCCACATCTCTGTTTTTGCAGGAGAGTCTGACTTTGATGACAGTAACTCCTTGGGTCTCTCAGGTAAGGGAACAAGTTGGTGCTGTGGGTGGGCTAGATGGAGGGGCCCTCTACTGGACTCTGAGCTCAGGTTCCTGCTCCGCCCCTTGGTGGCTTGTGGCCTTTGACAAGCTGCCTTCCTCCTCTGTGCAAGCTGGGGGCTTTATTCACTGCCGTGGCAGGCACTTACATACCCACACTGAGCATCTCGTAGACTGCGAAGCCCCTTCCTGGGCTTCAAGGGGAAACTCCTGGCTCAGATGGTCCCTAACGGTTTCTGAAACCTGACCTGCAGACCCCAACCCTTGCCGCTGTCTAGTCTGCCTCATGGAGACCCTCTAGGACAGAGACGACCTGCCCCCAGAGGGTTTCCAAGGCTG